GCAAAGGGCAAGTCAGGGGATAGGTTATGTTGGGCTGGGTTGGAGCAACCACCAACACATGCAAGATCTGTGGCTGGGGAGTGGGTCTGGTTGGGCAGCTAAAGTAATACCCCTGCTGGGTAGTGGTTTCCACTAGTGAGTGCAAGAGCTGGAATGGGGCAGTGAACCGGGCTAGAACGGGGCAACATCAGTGTGGACTGGATCTGGGGTTTGTCACATTGGGTTAGGCTCTAGCACCCACTGATACTTGCAAGAGCTGGCATAGGTGTAAGACAGGCTGGTCTCGGCACTTGCTGAACCACGTGAGAGCTAGGTCTGGGTGTGGCCAGGTGGGCCTGGAGTGTAAGTAACACTTAACAGTAAGAGCCGGAATGGGTGTGGGCCAGTCGGGCAAGGTTGCTGTACCTGTCAGGGCAGGAGGCAGGCCAAGTCAGGCTGGGATAAACACCCATTTTTGTATGTGAGGTCTGCAACTGGGAGGTGACCTGATAGAGAGCTTGGGGAAATTCTGTCAGGACACAGTCCCTGCAGGTGAGTAAAAAGCTGAGGTTGGGGGCCTGATGCGGCGGCCTAGTGGCTGAGGTCCTTGCCTCACACATGGCAGCATCCCATATGGGTGCTGGTTCATATCCTGGCTGCCCTGCTTTCCTTCCAGCTCCCTGCTTGTGGCCTGGGAAAGCAGTGGAGGATGGACCTGCACCTGTGCGGGAGACCCAGAAAGATGCTCCTGGCTCCTGGCTTCAGATCAGCTCAGCTCTGGCCGTTGTGGCCACTTGTGGAGTGAACCAGCGGAAGGAAGATCTTTCTCTGAATATCTCCTTTCTGTGATCCAGACTTTTTTTTATAAAAATAAAGACTTAAAAAAAAAAAAAAACCACATTGAGGCCGGTTGCAGCCTAGACCAGGCCACGTTACAATACCTGCCAGGGTATGTGTGGGTCAGGTGTGGGGGCAGGCTGGGCTGGGCCAGTTCACAGCATCCACTGGCAGACCTGGGAACCAGGATGGGGAATGGGACAGGCCAGGTTGGGTTGCAACACCAGCCAGTTCATATAGGGCTGGGTTAGGCTGCAAAACCCACCACTATGAGCTGGAAATGGGGCAGATCAGGCCCAGCTGGACTGAGTACCCATTGCCAAACGCTGAAGTAAGGCAGGTGGTTCCAGATTGCAACACAGCACCCACCAGCACACGGAAGACTAAGGCTAGAGGGCAGCAGAGAGGCAGGGACTGCTGCTGGGCCACTGCTCCTGCTGCTGAGCCTTGGAGCTAGGACTTGGCTGGGGTGGACGAGGCTGGTCAGGGCTACAAAACTTGGCCTGCGTGTGAGCTGGGTTGGGGAGAGCCAGGCTGGGCTGAGCGATTGCATCCTATGGTGCCTCCGTGAGTGGGAGGAGGTGCAGGCTGGTCAGCTTTGGCTGCAGTGTCTCGCAGGTTACACATGTCTGTGTTTTTCTTTGAGCAGATTTGATTGTAGGTCTTACATTTACTTTGTTTCTTTTCTTTCTTTTTTTTTTAAAAGATGTGTTTGTGTGGATGAATTTAACTGTACGTGTACCATATTTTCTTCATCAGTGCAGCTGTTGATGGAGACTTCAACACATTCCATGTCTTGGCTCCCACAAACACCACTGCCAGAAAACGGGAGTGGAGGCGTCTGCGACCGACTGATTTTATTGCCTTGGACACAGTCCCAGTATTGGAGTTGCTGAATCATTGGGGTAGCTCTATTTTTAATTTTGAAAGGAGGTTAAGCAGTTTTACGACCATCAACCTGGCAAGCTATGTGAAATGCAAATATTTCTTCAAAAGCAAAACTTTAGAAAAACTGACAAAGCAAGAAAATGTGAATAACTCATTATACATTAAAGAATTGGATTTATTAAAAATCTCCCCATATCATTTAAGATATAAGTAGTTTCACTGGTGAATTCTACTAAGTATTAAAAAGAAGAAATGATATCATAATAATATATTATTTCAAAAAATAGAGGAGGTCCAATGCTTTGCACCTTATTCTGAGAGACCCTCAACCCTGGTATCGAAGCTCATGGAGGGCTAGCCTCGCGCTCAGCGCAGCAGATCACCCGTGCTGGCCCGCGGCCACCTGGCGGGGTGCTGGCAGCAATCTTGGCTTTGCTTCTTCTGATCAAGCTCCTCGCTCGTGCCTTTGGAACAGCAGTGGAAGATGGTTCCGTTACTCGGGCCGCTGCCACCTGTGAGGGGTTTCTGGTCTTGGCCTTGATCTAGCCTCAGCCATTGTTTTATCCATTATCTTAACAGAATATATTTATTTATTTGACTACTCTTTGTATTATATGCTTTAGGGCTGCTGTGTACATACAAATTTGGAACTGTTATTTCATTCTGTTAATATTATATCATTACGAGAGACCGCTCCCACTTCTGGCAATGCTTGTATTCCTGTGCAACTTCTGCTGGGGATGGTACAATGGCTTCATTGGATGATCCTCCACTTTCAAGCATGGCAACCCATATGGCATCCGTTGGCACATGGCATCCCAGCTGCTCCACTTCCAACGCAGAACTCTATTTGTTGTCTGGGAAAGCAGAGCAGGATGGCCCGATTGGGAGGCTACACCCCCGTGGGAGGCCCTGAGGCAGCTCCTGGCTCCTGGCTTCGGATCGGCTCAGCTCCAGCATTGTGGTCATTTGGGGAGTGAACTAGAAGAAGGAAGATCTTTCTCTCTGTCTCTCTTCTCTCTCCGTAAATCTGCCTTTTCACTATGAATTTAAATAACAAATAAAGCAAAACAGTTAATTTTGTCTAATTCTAATGCAGCTATATCAGCTTTCTTTTATTAAGACTGTATTTTTTCAGCATTTTCTGTTACTTTTCCATAATCTTACACACATTTTCTCTTTTGTAAACTGCCTGGCATTTGAGGATTTTTTTTCTTTATTTTTGACAATCTTTACATAGTAGATTAGGGCACAAAGGGTCAAGGGCTATAGGAAAGTGGGTAAGACTATTATCTCCACATTATTGCTTTTTTTTCTCCTCTGTATCTGGGGTAAAGGGGGGATTTTAAGGGAGAAGCCCCACCCAGCCTCCCACCCATCCCAGGTCCCCGATGCGGGGCACGCTCCGAGGGTCCTGCTCAAGTGGTTTTGATAGTTCAACAGTTATGAACTGCTGCCTATCTCGCCATTCCAAGCACAATAAAATTCCTGCAGAATCCACTGGTTGACACAGATCACCTTAGAGTCTCCATTTGCATTCAAGGAGAAGGTTTTAGCTGCTAGGCTCATGTGCTGGGCCCTTCCAACTTGACCTTTTCAATTCCCTCTGCCTGGAGAAAATTTGACTTTCATGATTTTTTCCTAATAATGGGTAAAAAGGGAAAGATAACTGTGTTAGATTATCCCTGCCATTCTCATTGAAAAGAAGAGGGCCAATGAATTTGATATATATGATAAGGTGAAACAGAGAAAGATTGATCATACATATATTGATTATATATATTATACATTGATTACATATAATAGATATTGATTATATTATATATAATGGCTTTATAAAAATGTTACTGTGAATATACATGAAAACTGCATCATATTACCCATGATTAGGAACACAAATATTTAAAAATGAATACTTAAAAGGATACTTATTACATATTGTTTATAATGGCAATCAGCATTAGACTGGTGATGTATAGTGAGAAATTTCTGGAAGCAGTTTAAACTGTAGCAAAAGCGCTACAGACCCAAAAATTCAATTATGGAATCTTAAAAAGCTGAAAAATACATATTATGCCACCCATGAAAATAAATTCTTCATTATCTTTTCTTATTTCTCTTTTTAAAAGTTTTATTTATCTTACTCACAAAGTCTAAATGAGAGTAAGAGAGAGAAAGGATACAGATGTTATATCTACTGGTTTAGTGCCAAAATGGGTTCATGGTCTCAACTGGGCCATACTGAGCAGGCACCCAGGAGCTCTTCCAAATAGAGCACATGGGTTCTGGGACCCAAGGACTTAGACCATCCTCTGCTGTTTTCCCAGACTGTAAGCAGGGGCTGCATCTGAAATGGTGCAGTGAGGGCCCAGCGCGATAGCATAGTGTTTTGGGTCCTTGCAATGTGTCGGGATCCCATATGGGCGCCGGTTCTAATCCCACTGGCCTTGCTTCCCCTCTGAGGTTGCCACAAAGCCTTGGGCCCCTGCACTTGCAGGAGACAGCCAGAGGAGGCTCCTAGCTTCAGCTGAGCTCAGCTCCAGCCATTCTGTCTCTTTATGGATTGACTCCTTGGCTGGAGGGTCTCCCTGTCTGTCTCTGCTCCTCTCCCAAAGTGTGAACTGCATTTCCAATACAAATAAATAAATTATGCAACACTGGAAATAATTTGATAAAGTCTTTATTGTCACATAGCCCCAAAGGAAAATAATAATAATACAAAGACAGAAATCCCAGTTCTTTGTTTTGCAAACGACAAGCATCTGTCTCTAGAGCTACTTGCTAGATCCCCAGAGGTTGTCAGGCCTCTGTGAGAAGAAGTTCCATGGGGAGAATTCTGAAAAACTGCCCTGAGAGTAACCCCCACTGCAAAAATTAAAACACAGGCCAACACCACCAGCAACCAGACCCCCTCCCCCCTAACAACGCAGTCACCAATGTGGGAGAAAAGGGATTCGGCGAGGGGTGGGACAAGTGGGGACTTCTGCCAAGTGCTTCAGCTAAGGTTGTAGGCAAGGGAGGGGAGGAGTACAAGTGCCTTTGAGAAGGGTCCAGCGTCGGTCTTGAGGGCCGAGGGAGACTGTGCTGCCAGCAGCGTTGGTTGGAGGAGATAGATGGGCCGTGTGCCAAGCTTCTGGCTCGGCCACTGGTGCAGGATTGGCGTCCATGCGCAGAGCGTCTTCCCTCCGCCGTCTCCCGTTGAGGCTTGTGCAGGCGCAGCCAGGGCTCTGTGCAGGTCCTGCCCTTCCTGCAGCTGGCTGGTGGGCAGGGTGTGGTTGCGAGTTGTGGCGCTGGAGTCACTGGAAGAGCAGGCGTCTTCGGGCCTTGCAGGCGGGGCGGCGAGGGCGCTGCGGGTTCTCGGGGCGCTCCTGGGGATCTGGACTGGGAGAGGGAGGCAGAGGCCGGAGCGAGGAGCTGGGTGAGAGGGGGTGCAGCAGTTGGTAGTCGAGGTCGAAGGCAGATCTGGGAGCTGCGGCCCAAGGACTGGGAGCCAGGAGCTCAGAGGCGGCGGAAGCGGAGGTGGCGGGGGCTGGGGCTGGGGCGGCTTCTTGCAAGGCATCTTCCTGGCCTGCGCCGTCGGGCACGGAGGCGCATGCCCATTGCTGCTGGCCCGCGACGACCAGCTGTTCCACCGCGACCAGCAAGGCGTCCAGCTGCAGGCCACCGGGAGCCTGTCCCTGGGCTCCGGAGTGCGAGGCGGCGGCGTCCAGGAGGCCCTGGGGCACCAGGAGCAGCGTGCATCCCAGCAGCGACACTGTGACGACGGCCATGGGCGGGGGCTCCAGCAGCAGGTCGACGCCGAGCTCGGGGTGCTGCAGCCACAGGGCCGAGCCGGCGGGCAGCACCACCACAGAGCTCAGCGAGCTGGGCGCCAAGCCATGTGCATCCACACCGGCAGCGGCCTCGTAATGGGCAGTGGCCTTGTCTTCTTGCAGAGGCAGGCTATTGCCGTCTTCTAGATTTGGGGCGTTGTTGGCCTCTTGCAAAGCAGCAGTGTTGGCTTCTTGGAGCGCAACAGCATCGGGGTCACGGCTAGCCAGGCCATCGGCCCGTTGTAGTCCTAGTGCTTCGGCTTCTTCTAGAGCTATGGCGTTGTCCTCTTGCAGAGGGAGAGCGTTGGCGTCTTCCGAGGCGTGCTGGGCCCAGGACTGGTGCCATAGGCCAGGCTGTGGCAGCGGCTCGGGGCCCGCGGTGGGCACATCCACTCGGCGACGCTTGGCAGGGCCCGGCTCTCCAGGCTGCGGGGGCCAGCTGGGCGCAGGGCAGGTGCTGGGGCTGCGGGGTCGACGCATGTCGAAGGCGCTTTGTGCTGCGAGTTGCGGGCTGCTTGCGCTTCTGAGGCGGGTGATGGGTGCGGAAGGCAGGTGTGGAGGGCGTGGGCAGATGCGTGGGCTCAAGTCCTGCCTATCTTCTCCCGGAGCCACTCCTGTCTCAGTCCTGGGCCTGGGCGTCGCAGTCTTCCACCGTGCTGGCTCAGTGCTGGAGGCAAAGTTGGCCTGCAATTGGTCCACCGCCAGGCAGCAGCTAAATAGCGAGCATCGCCCCGCCCCCTGCAGCCTCCGCCCCCTGCAGACCGAGGCTGCGATTGGTGGATCACCATGCGGAAGTGTTTCTATTGGCCAGTGGAAGGCCGAAAGACCCGCAGAACTTTCTGGAAAGGAAAAGACACCTGTTCAGGTGGCGGATGGCAATTGCTAAACTGACTCTTTGGGGTGAATGTTTTCCTGGGAGTTCCTGGGGTGCTGAGGGAAAGACGACTCAAAAATGGCACGTCAGTACCTCATTGTGAGAAATGATTGGCAATCCGTCTTCTTCCAGGAGTCCATGGAAAAGATATTGTCCAAAGCAAAGTGTTTTGAAAAATTGTAAAGGGTTGCCACCCAGCTCCTTGCGTGTGGCCGGGGCATGAGTAGAGGATGGCCCCAAGCCTTGAGGCCCTGCATAGCATGGGAGACCCGAAGGACTCCCCTGATCCCTGGCTTTGGATGGACTTCTCTCTGGCCGAGGCCGCCATTTGAGCAGTGAACCAGCCTACAGAAGATCTTCCTCTCTGTCTCCCCTGCTCTCTGTATATCTGCCTTTCCAAGACAAATACTTTAAGGGGGGGAAAAAAACCTCTAAAGTGACCCATGTGTGACCGACTTTTCTGAAGATGAAAGCCCTGCCAAGATGATTAAGAGTCTGATAAAATGGAGACAACTACACAATGTTTTTATGTCCTTTGAAGGTCTAGTGTCAGAGACCAAAGAGCAGAGAGGGATGTTGGATCTGAAGGGAGGCATCGGCCAGGGCCGGTTCAGGCAGAGGGCAGGAGCCGGCACGGCACGCTGGTCTTTCAGCTGCGGGGCAGGACCCAGGCCATGGGCCAGCAGCCATCCCAGGCTCCTTAGCAGGAAGGCTGACTGGGAAGTGGGGCAGCTGGCTCTCCAGGCACAGCTGATGTTTCCAGAGAGAGGCATGTGTCTGGGGAAAAGCACTGCACCCCGTTTTCTGGTGTCACTTGACCTTGAGGGTCACCAGGCTCCAGTGGGCTTCCCGCTGGGCTGGGTGAGATTTCTGTGGCAGCGGTGTGTTCTCCCTCCCGTGCTCGTCCGTGGATATTGTATGCTTCTCCTCCCTCCTCAAAGCTCCAGCAGCTCATCTGTTGTTTTCACGCCCGCTTTCTTCTTGTCCTCTGAGATGACAGCTGCACCGAGAGGACATTTTCTGGAGCCAGGTCATGGTATCACAGTTTTCCTGCGTGTTGCATCTGAGATGTTTTTTCTACGTTCTCTCTTGTTCCAAGAAAACCAGTGTCCATGCTTGTAGAAACGGCGACTCCTTGGGATGGTGACACTGATGACATCCCGTCTGGCCTCGTTCCAACATCACTCCAGCAATGTACTGTGTGTGCTGCATCATCCAGTTGCAGCGACCACATTGAATTCTACAGTGTGTGCTGGAGTGATGAGTCTTCAAACCAAGCCTCTCTTGGATGGGCTTAGCTCCTCTCCCCACCCCAGTTTTCAAGCGAGTCCATTCTATGCGTACTCTCACTCAGGTAATGAATCCCCATAACTAAATGACTGAATTCAGTGCTAATGCCAAGTCCCTATTTTTAAGAGTTAAACACTAAGGTTATGTATCTGAATGCCAGAGTTACACACACATGGGAAGTGAGAGAGCTGTCTGTTCCATCTGCTGGCTCAGTCTTTGAATGGCTAGGATGTTTGGAGCTGGGCAGGCCAGAGGCAGGATCTAGGAACCGCAGCTGGATCTCCCCTGTGGGTGGTGGGGCCCAAGTCCCTTTTCTACCGCTCCTGTCTTTCCAGGCCAGTTAGCAGGGACTTGACTTGGATAGAGTACCTGACACTGGAGCAGGTGATTGGATTCGGGCTGCTGGTGTTGCAAGGGGTCGCTTAGCCTGTCAGGAATCAGGTCAGCCACAGGTGACGCAGTCATTCCTTATCTCCTTTCAACACTGCCCCGCCCCACCGCCCACCTGCTGGCGGCCTCCTTCATCTCACACTCCATGCTGTATCGCTGCTTTCTTTTTGTTCTTGGAACTCTTTGCCCGATTCTGGAGGCTGAAGCTTCTTAGGATTCATTTCCGGTCGTCTTCTGGCTATCGCGTTTGTTTCCAAGTGCACACACAGTCAGGCCTTTCTCCTGGATGCCTATTGAGTGGAGCCAAGTGTCCATGTGGTGTCTGGATCAGAAAGCTTGGAGCAGGTGTCACTCTGTCTTTTCTTTGAGCATCGGCAGTTCAAACGGAAGGTATACTTTGAGCTCTCTGTACTCCTCTAAGTTGCAACTCTCTCCAAGTGTCCCCGATGTTAATGTTGGTCAGCTCTGCCTTCGTGTTGCACAGCCCCAGCCTTAGAGTCATCCGTGAGTGTCTTCCTGGCACACACATTTTCATTCTGTCAGTGTGTTCCTCAGTTGCACCATGGTGTCGCCTCCCTTCTGCGAGCAGGCTGTTGCTCCTTCCATCCTTGAGCCAATTGCTCTGGAAACTTGTCCAGCGTCTCCTTGTTTCTCGCCTAGCTTGCCCACACCCGGGGAGATCTCATGAAGGCATCAGTGGGTCTCCAACATCTGAAAGAGTCAAACACCAGAAGCACATACACAGAGCCGACGTGGATCACTGCCCTGCTGGAACAGCTGTAGCTTCACACGGGATGCTAAGAGCCGGTGGGGTGTTGTACGTGCCTGCCAGCCTCCTTGTCTGTGCCATTCAACCTGTATCCCCTTGCTTCGGGCTTTGGCTCCAGCTCTCTGGTCTCCACAACCTCCCTAAAAGTTGACAGGCATATGCACAGATTCCAGAACTGTGCTCATTTCTTCCCTGCCAGCAGCTCCATCTCAGAAGCGTTCCCTGAGCACGCTGTCCAGGAGAGCCATCCCTGACTACTGTCTTGTTTCTGTGCCTGAATGGAAGCCCTGACACGGCACAGTGGTTCTCAGTGGACACAGCAGCTGCACTCTTTTAGCTTTATGCTAGAGCAATACACATTTTGTGGGGCTTGCTCTTAGGATTTTGAATGTGGATCTTTCTCAGGCTAGTGACATGCAGTACAATGATGTGCTGGAATGCTGTCCGGTGGCAGCCAGTGCAACTCTCAGTCCACCATGACACCATGAGGGTGTAGAAGCCATACTCTCCGTGGTGACTGTGCTCTGTGGCCATGGAGTTCTGGATGCTGTGCTGTCAAACACATGATGTCTCATCGTGTCCGTGAAACTCCCGGCTGTGCGTGCACGCTAGATTTGCAATGGCTTATTATCCGAAGGATGAGTATTATAAGATTTTGGCCAGGTGTAGTCTTCGGGAAATGTTTGGACATGTTGAAGGCAGCGGGCGGCGCCCCGACAGCCACCCCTGGACCAGAGCTCTGACGTCTGGCAGGTTCTATAGATGAGATGCAGCTATCTCCGTCTAAGCTGGTATTTCCACGTGTGGTGGGGTTAGCAGGCTACAAATCCATTACAGAGGGGAAGCACCCATGTTCAACAGGGTGTGCATTCTATTGCTCTAATGCCCGTCCCTATTGTTTGTTCAAGAATATGAGTCTTTTGGGCCTGGCGCGGTGGCGCAGTGGTTAAGGTCCTCGCCTTGCACGCCCGGGATCCTATATGGGCGCCGGTTCTATCCTGGCAGCCCTGCTTCCCGTCCAGCTCCCTGCCTGTGGCCTGGGAAAGCAGTCGAGGACAGCCCAAAGCTTTGGGAACCTGCACCCGCGTGGGAGACCCAGAAGAGGCTCCTGGCTTCGGATCGACATAGCATCGGCCGTTGCACTCGCTTGGGAAGTGAATCATCAGACAGAAGATCTTCCTCTCTGTCTCTCCTCTCTGTATATCCGCCTTTCCAATAAAAAAATAATAATAATAAAAATAAACCTTTAAAAAAAAAGAATATGAGTCTTTTGAAGGTAGTGCATTGCCCTGGTTTTGGGAAATCCCATAGCCACTGACTAGAAAAATGGGTCTGTTGACTGAGTAACCACCTGTCCCTGCTGACCGGTTTTCTCTCATTTTGCACCATCTGGAGACTGTCCTCCAGCCCATTTTCTCCCTCTGGAGCTCTCCACGTGTTCTAGCCTCTTCCTTTCCCTTCCTTGCTCTGTTCCCTACTCATTCTGTTTTTGTCTGTATTCTTCTAGGGTTGACTCTAGGTAATTTCTCTGTGCTTTCAACTCTCTCTCTCTACCTGCTTCCCATCCTTTGATTCAAAGCCTCGACGACATATTTTGTCTGCATTGTTTGATTTGGGCTCAGCAGAGTGGCATAGCCCGGTAGCCTTGCAGCTGCTGGCGTCAGCATCGCTTGTGGGTGCCGACGTGAGCCTGAGTCTCTACTTGCCCATCCCAGCCTGCTTGTGGCCTGGGAGGGCAGCCAAGAACGGCCTCAGTGCTTGGGAGCCTCCAGCCATGGAGCTGATCTGGAAGGAGCTCGTGCCTCCCGGCTGCTGAGTGGCCCAGCTCTGGCTTTGGGGCTATTTGGGGAGTGAACCAGAAGATGGAAGCCTTTCTGTCCCTCCTTCCCATCGGATGGCCTGACTCCTAAGAAGTGGAAATGAATCTGTAAACAGCATTTTTAGAATAACATTAGAGTCAGAGTGCGAGAGAGAGCTTCTATCTGCCAATTCATGGTGTAAATGGCGCTAATGGGCACAGCTGAGCTGATCTGATGCTGCAAGATGGGCAGATGGGAGCTTCCTCTGGAGCTCTCCCAGGGCTGCAGCGGCCCAAGGATGGCAGCTCTGCAGGTGCAGGACTCGCCTGTTGAGAAACCATGCCGGCCCTGAAAGAAT